GTTTCTGTTTATTTGTAAATAAATAAAAAGAAATTCATTGTCATCTAGCAAAATCTTATATAGTATCCATTTCAGCAGGTGTATGATGCCAAATCAACTGGATATAAAAGTACCTTTTTTAGTATAATTGCAAATTCCAAGAGGAATGAAGGTGAAGGCAATAGGAGACAAGGCATTAGAAGCCTTTGGGTGATGGCCTTCACATCCATTCAAACTCCTGCTTGTTTAAAATCTATGCACATCTGAGGATAGCCACTGAGCATAACAGGCCAAAAAACCTCCCTGTTTTCTGCAGAAGTGTTGGCATGCCAAAGGGTCAAATCAGGAGGAACATCTATTTCCAGCTGCAAAATCTCTCCACACAGCTAGGGCTACTCACACCCAAGGCCCACTTTTGACATCAGGCAGGAGGAATAAGAAGAGCTCAGGTCTACACTCAGGGTCACCTTGGAGCTGGTCCAGGTTTAATCTTCTGCTCCTATTGTAAGTAATGTCCTTACCATGATGAACCTGGCCCTGGGTTCCTGTGCCTGTTTCCCCATGGCCATCTCTTACTCTTTCCAGCCTACCTTCCTCTGAGAAGCTATAATCTCTCTACTTGTGAATCTGTTTCCAAGTGCTAGATGCCCACTCGTTCTTTCAATTCCCAGAACCGTGCTCCTGCAAATTCATCAGGACACCCCCAATACCTCACAGGCTCTCAAACCTTTTAAGGTAATGGTCTTACTGGGCTGTGCTACTTACAAGTCATACTCTCTGGATGCTGTGGTTTGCCTAATGGATTACACATCCTCTGGCACCTGCAGTCGGGATTACATTCGAACCCCTTTCAACCCTGGCACCTCTTTTGTCTGCACTGACTTGTCTCAGGCACCCCAACTATATCAAAAAACCTCATTAGGTGGGTTGTGTTTTCAGTTTGTGCCATGAGAGGCTGTGTTAGCCATTTTTCCTTTTTCACTGTGGTCATATCACTGACTAATAGTTCAATTGAGTATCAAGATATAGCTGTTGCCATAGATACCTGATTATAATACTAAGGAATAAATTTAGTGGTAGTATATCCCAGAGACAATTGATGCAATAGATGTCTCATTTAGTCTACAAATACATGTTTGTTATTTCACTTCTGAACACAATCAGTAAATGATTTATATTGTTTTCAAGAGCGGTGACATAAACAAAACTTAGATAGTATTTTACTATGAAATAAATATCGATGGCATTTACACTAAAAGAATGAAATTGGATGTCTAGAAGGACCACGTCTTCTGTAGTTTTTAACAGAATTTTGTTATTTTTAACAAACTATAAAACTAAATATGACTTAATATCTTTGTAATGCTTGTCTTAAATGTAAATTAGAAAAGTAATCTTTTTTGGGGGGATATGCTTCCTCTGTCAGACCAACAACCAGCCTTTCTTCGTGGAAACTGGACTACCTAATTCTAGGACTTAATATTTTTCCCCCATATGGCCTCTCAAAATGTCACCTTCTCTAGCTGTCTTTCCTCCCTCACATTGTTCCATTACAAACTATGTGATCGAGTAAGTGTTTATTCTCTTAGAGCTGAGTTTTACAGCCTTGACACTATTGACATTTGGGCCAAAGAATTCATTGTCGTGGTGGCTGTTCTGTGTATTTTAGGATGTTTTGCAGCATTCCTGGCCTCTAACCATTTGCTGCCGGTAGCAACCACCCACTCCCAGTTGTGACAACTAGAAATGTCTCCAAACATTCCCAAATGTCATCTGGAGGTTCAGGGGTGGGAAATTATCCCCAGTTGAAAACCAGTTACTTAGAGCATTTGAAATCCCCTCAACAAATTATGTGAATAATGATGATAATAACGATGATGGTGGCAGTGGGTAGTGTTGGTGATGGTTATCGTGGTGATGACCCTACTGTTATCCAGGATTTGAACCAAGGTCTTTTGATCCTCAAGAAGGACCCCAGCATACATTAAGTTTTGTTCTTTTTTTCCACTGAACTTTTGGAGAATATACCTAGAACTGATCACTATGCCTAAATGAAGCTTTCTCTTACTAGTTCAATTCTCACTAATATTAGGTTTATATAAAAATATTCCAAATGCCTGGGAGTCCTGCAATTAAAGATTGATCTGATTAATTATTTAAACTTTCCTGTAATCACTTTCCTTATATCACATTATGTAAGACAATTTCTATACATTGAAAGGCCAAGTAGTAATTTGCTTTATCTTTCAAATAATCACTTTCTAATGTTAATTCTACACTTATACAGATTTAGATATTTTAAAGTCAGACATCTTTGATTGGACTGTAGTGTCAAGCAATTTACTGTTACCCAAATTGAATTTGAATTTGGACTTCCCACTTAGTCATTAGGAGGCATTGGGATAATTAATTAAACTCTCTCAGTTCTAGTTTCCTTATCTATAAAAGAGGAAGAACATGGCACATATTAGGAGCTCAACAAATATTTATGGAATGGATGAAAATGAAGGTTACATGACATAACGTAAAATGGTCAGCACAGGCACTCACTGAATATTTGTGGAATTAAGATAATGGGAAGGTAACTCAGCAGGCACTCAACAGCGGGCACTCGGTAAATCATGGTTCCTCTTCACCCTCCTCTGAATAGCTGCAACCTATGTTCTTTGTGCCAGACCCCTCACCTTTTTAGCTCTCTATACAAGTGTTGTTATGTGCAATAGTCTTAATTTTGTAATCGATGACTGGCCTTGAAGGCCTAGATCATTTCTTACCTTGAGAACTTCTAAAAAGGAGGAAATGGAAGGGCTCATTAAACACTTACTGATTAATTGAGGGCTAGAGAAGACTGGAGCCATTCAGTCCTCAGTAACCATTGTGTCCACCTGTAAACAGGCACAAGAAAGGTAGACCAAAAGCCCTTCTATTTGACATGAGAAGCTGTTAGTTCTAGACTGAACAATGTAAAACAGTCACAAAAATTGATTATAAGAGTAACACACCCACACAATTAATATTACCTAGAGCTTTCCATGTGCCACACGCTGGGCTGAGTGCTTTACAGGATTCATCTTATTTAATCCTGTAACAATCCTGTGTCAGTGGCATGAACAGTGTCCCTATTTCACAATAAGATAAAATGGCTAGTGCAAGATTATACAGCTAAATGAATTTAAGACACAGAACTTCTCAGTTAGACTGAACTGGACATGAGTTACAGATTTATTAATGCTTACAATCTTAGACTAATGAATGTATGGTTCTACCCCCTAGTTTTCCCATCTATAAAATGAAAATTAATAATAAAATTTGCTTTTTTTATTTCTAAAGGTGATCTATTGGAAGTATCACAAAGAAATGTGTGATACTCAGCGGGGGGCATCACACTACTGGATTTCAAACTATACTACAAGGCTACAGTAATCAAAACATCATGGTACTGGTACCAAAACAGAGATATAGACCAATGGAACAAAACAGAGGCATCGGAGGCAACACAACATATCTACAACCATACAATCTTTGATAAACCTGACAAAAACAAGCAATGGGGAAAGGATTCCCTGTTTAACAAATGGTGTTGGGAAAACTGGCTAGCCATGTGCAGAAAGCAGAAACTGGACCCCTTCCTGACTTACACTAAAATTAACTCCAGATGGATTAAAGACTTAAACATAAGACCTGGCACCATAAAAACCCTAGAAGGAAATCTAGGAAAAACCATTCAGGACATAGGAGTAGGCAAGGACTTCATGAACAAAACACCAAAAGCATTGGCAACAAAAGCCAAAATAAACAAATGGGACCTAATTAAACTCCACAGCTTCTGCACGGCAAAAGAAACAGTAACTAGAGTGGATCGGCAACCAACAGAATGGGAAAAAATTTTCGCAGTCTACCCATCTGACAAAGGGCTGATATCCAGAATTTACAAAGAACTCAAACAGATTTATAGGAAAAAAACAAACAAGCCCATTCAAAAGTGGGCAAAGGATATGAACAGACACTTTATGAAAGAAGACATATATGAGGCCAACAATCATATGAAAAAATGCTCATCGTCACTGGTCATCAGAGAGATGCAAATCAAAACCACATTGAGATACCATCTCACGCCAGTTAGAATGGCGATCATTAAAAAATCTGGAGACAACAGATGCTGGAGAGGATGTGGAGAAAAAGGAACACTTTTACACTGTTGGTGGGAGTGTAAATTAGTTCAACCATTGTGGAAGACAGTGTGGCGATTCCTCAAGGCCTTAGAAATAGAAATTCCATTTGACCCAGCAATCCCATTACTGGGTATATATCCAAAAGACTATAAATCGTTCTACTATAAGGACACATGCACACTAATGTTCATTGCAGCACTGTTTACAATAGCAAAGACCTGGAATCAACCCAAATGCCCATTGATGATAGACTGGATTGGGAAAATGTGGCACATATACACCATGGAATATTATGCAGCAATCAGAAATGATGAGTTTGTGTCATTTGTAGGGACATGGATGAATCTGGAGAACATCATTCTCAGCAAACTGACACAAGAACAGAAAATGAAACACTGCATATTCTCACTCATAGGCGGGTGATGAAAAATGAGAACACATGGACACAGAGAGGGGTGTACTAAACACTGGGGTCTATTGGGGGGAAAAGGGGAGGGCCAGTGGGAGGGGGAGGTGGGGAGGGATAGCCTGAGGAGAAATGCCAAATGTGGGTGAAGGGGAGAAAGCAAGCAAAACACACTGCCATGTGTGTACCTACGCAACTGTCTTGCATGTTCTGCACATATACCCCAAAACCTAAAATGCAATAAAAATATATATATATACATACAAAAAAAATGTGTGATACTATATCATAAACAATAAAGCACTCTACAAATGTTATTCATGATTTAAAATAGAAAGGTTTCCCTTGAGATCTTGCATTCAGCAAGGAAGTCCGAACACTATCCCTGAGGTGTTTATTATGGGTGCATCTGCCTTTCCATCTTTGCAGGGGTGAACACTTACGGAACATAGCTCCCTCATTGCAGTGTCCTGAAAGGCTTTCAAAGTCATCATGAACTGGGCTTCCTGGTGACCAGTAAGTGAGCACAGGCAGTGCCTACAGACTGAGGGTGCAGGGCCAGGGCTTTGCCTCTCCCCATGGCAGTGAGGTTGGTGATGACAGCAGATGCAGCAGTGGGCAGGTTTAGCATGGCAGGTGCCCCCTGGGTAGATACTAGGGAAACCTGAGTCTAGAGAGATGGATTTGGTGAGGGGCTGGTGCCCATGTATCAAGGCTTTGTTGATTGGTGCAGAAAAGAAATGCCAGGGCCCAAGCTCATATACAGAAGTCTGAATGGAAGCATCATTGAACCGTCTTGCTTCTGTCCCCAGTCTTGGTTCTGTTGTGGTAACAGGGTCACACACAGTGCATTCTAAAGATGTTCCTCTGGGACCAGTCTCCAAGGACACAGCACTCTGAGCAGCAGATACCAGGATGGAGGACATCTGGGCTGTCACAGACCTGGAGCTACCAGTATTTACAGGAAGGTTTTCCATCTCAGCCTCTGTCCTAGGGAGTATCTGACCCAAAGTACAAGACCTTGACTTCACCTGGGCAGGATCTCCAGGAAGTTTATAGAGGTGGGGAATGGGCTTTTCAGATGTTTGAGAAAAGTCAATTGCATAAGGTGTGCTTTCACTGTGCTTGGGGACACACTGTGATGAGCTTTCTGGTGCCAGTAAGCTGTGGTTGGTATTGGGACAGAGTCCACTGCTTTCCTCTTCTCTTGGGGACTCAGAGTCAACAAGAAGGAACTCGTCTTGAGTGCGATCATTTCCAGGTGATCTTTGAAACTCATACTGGTGACTTTGCACTTCACCAGCTCCCTCAGTCCTCAGAAAACTGTCCTGCATTTCTGTGATGTGGGTTACCACAAACCCCAGAGGATGATCATATTTGGAAGTGACTATAGATCCAGTGACCTCATATTCAGTGTAGGGCATTGGCAGAAGCTGCTGCAGATGGCTGTCTTTCCTTGGGTGTTCTCCCCTTGTGGTGGTCTTGGCACAGGCCATGTGTGGGATACACAGCTCTGGCGGCCCCTCCATGTCCTCAAGCAGAGACTCTTCCTCCACTACAGGTACTGAGACCTTTTCTTCTAAGGCATTCGCATCTTGGCTTGAAAAAGATGTGCTCACTATACTCCTGGAATCTGGCCCATCTGACTCTAGCTGACAGTCTTGGGATGATACTAAGCTATGGCTCTGATCTTTTGGCTTTCTACTTCCATTCTCAGCATGACTCTGGCTGCCTGGCAAGGAAGGCATCTGTAGGGGAAACCAGGACAAAGGGAAACAGGTCAGGAAGTGGAGGAGGCAATAAGTTTAAGGTGAGATTTTCTTCTTGTCATTACCATTGACTTAGGAGTTAGAACATAAGGTTTTGCATCTGTTTACCACTTTAACTAGGTCCTCCTCTCTAGAAGGCTCAGCTTCCTTGCTTAGAAAAATCAAAAGGAAAGGAAGGCCACACTTTGTGACACCTTGTCTTAAGACTCCATCATCCCCTCTGCCTTGGATGCAGGTGGCTGTGCCTTCTCAGCCTTTCCAATTTTGGTGGGTACTTTAAAACATCCCTCCTTCTGAGTTAGCTATGAGTGAGGTTTGGGTGGCAGCCTGGTTGATAGGGCTGAAGTGGGATGTGAGTGATGAGCATAGGGCCCTGTTCCAAACCCTCCTACCTGGAGGGGCAGTGGTTCCAGCAGCTCCTCCAGGAACCCACTGCTGTCAGACTGGCAGCTATTTGCTCTGTCCACCCTGGCACCTGCAGAAGGAAAGAGGTCTTGAGGTTATTAAAGGGAAGACAAGAGGCCAGCAGGACTGCCATCAACCCCTGTAGGTGCCTGGCACACTATGGATCCTACAGAAATTCCCACTGTGTGGAAGGGAAAACAAATAAGGGAATTCCAAGGACTTTTTTTCTCAATTGTTAGAGAGTTTATATGAAACTGCATCACTGGTTTCCTGATACAAAGAATTAAACATGAAACAAAGGAAGAGAAATGAATGTTTCTCAAAACTAATAACAATATGGCTTTGAGATGAATCTTTACTAAGGAAAAGCAAATCCAGAAGGAAACACATATGCCTTAAATGCCAAACTAATAAAATGATAAAAGACCACATTTTATTTATTTGTGTGTGTGTAGATATATATTCTTGTTCTTTTTACTAAAGTTGGATAAGGACCCTTTGCTAGCTTCAGCTGGACTATTTCTATGACTACACGTTTGTGCCCATGTTTTGGACCACTGCCCTTGTCACCAGGAGAGGCTGGGACATGCAGAGAAAGAGCAGTCAAGTGTTGGCAGGCCATGACTTTGTAAACAGGAGCACCCATGAAATCCTGAATCTATCTGTAGATTCTTTCATAAATATTAAGTTATATATTGTGGGGGATATAGTTGGTTACCAGGGTTTCACTGTGCTAAAGATTAAATTATGAAATTTTGTCTTCTTCTTTAATAAGAAATGCTTTCAGTTATATCACAGTATAGGCTCGAATAGGAAGTCTCTTAGGAGAAGGGCAGTTGCAACATGGCCTTCTTAGAATACGAGGAGCCTTGTCAGTCCTGGGAGAAGATTGGGTATGTGTCTGGGAAGTGAATTAAAAGGAAAAAGCTGATTGTCTGTAGATATAATCCTTGAGTATTTGGTACCTAAGTGATAAATAGGGGGTTTTCCTTTTCTTGAACAGCTGCTGAAGAAGAGTTCAAGGGAGGAAAATGATTCCAGCCTCTGCTTAGATCTCTGCTGGATCCGACCTTGAAGGACAGTTCCACTCACAAGAGCAGAATCGCTCTTTTCCCTGCAGAGGGCAATCCCCAAGAGGCTTAGCAGTCCATGTGTCTGAGCAAAGACAGCAAGTAAAGACAGTCCCAGAGGTGGCTGTCGCAGCCCAAACCCCAGCTACCTCAGCCTGAGGCCAAAGTAAAGAGAAAGTAATGGCTGAACTTAGTAGAACTAAGCATTATAAAACCCATATTATTTAATTCAGCTTCAAACATAACCCAAAGCTAAAAATCAGAGGGCATACATTTTTAAATAGCTGAATCCTAAAGAGATTAAAATTCTTTGAGCAAAATTTTGAGAATGCATGTCTTTGCTTCTTGTTACATAATTAAGGGTAAAAAAAATAGAAAATATTTGCAAGTCGTAGACCTACATGAGACTTCTGCTTTTCAAAACCTGTAGTAATAGGGACTAGATTTTTCCTCCTACCTGAATCAACTGAAAAACTACACAAGATATGTGGAAAAAAAAGGTGGTTTTCAAGACAGTGGAGATCAGACAGTTACAGACAGAAATCCTTGAGAAATAGGAGCAAGTGATATGAACCTAGCTTACTGCTTTGAGAGAGTTTACAGGTCTTGGCATGGGAAGGAGGAACCCAGGCTGAGCCTGGCAGACACTTGAAGCTGAGGAAACCGAGCTAGAAGTCCAAAAAGAATGAGCCAGCTAGAATTCAAAGGGCAGATAGAGGAGAGGAAGAAGCTGCACACAGGGAGAACTCTAGAGGGTCTCTCTTGAGTATTCCATGGAGTACTGATGAGCTCAAGCATGTGAGAAACCACCAAAAGCCGGGAAGAGAACCATCAGAAAGGGTCAGAGGAAACACTGCCCAGTACTCATTCAGAACCTGGAATAGGGAATGTGCTGGCCAGCCAGATGCAAAACCTCCTATTTCACAGGACACTGAGGGGTAGAATACTTAGAAGTGTCTTGCTTCAGGAATAAGAAATAATTAGCCTTAGAATGACCACTGTTCTGGTCCCACCTAATGAGCCTTAAAAAAAAGACCTGAAAGAATCAAACTGTTTCCAAGTAACTTAATTGTGTCCAAGACATAAGCAAAAGAATATTTATGGGAATATAGTATTATCTATAGCCTACATGGTAAAATACAAATGTCTGGCATACATTAAAAAATTTCTGGTGTGCAAAGAAGCAGGAACATATGATCCAATATGAGGAGAAAAATCAATCAATTTAAACCACCCTACAACTAATACAGATGTTAGAATTCTCAATTGAGAAAGAGCATTAAAACACTTATTAAGACTATATTCCATATGCCCAAGAAGCTAGAGGAAAGATGAACTATGTTAAGTGAAGATATGCAAGATATTAACTTGAACTTCTAGAGATGAAAACAACAATATCTCCAGTAAAATTTATGTTGGCTTTATATAGCAGATTAGACACTGAAGAAGAAAAGATTAGTGACATGAAGACATTGTCATAAGAAGCTATCTCAAATGAAACACAGAGAGTTTTAAAAAAGAAAATAATTTTAAAAATGAAAATACAATCAGCAAGCAATGAGACAACTCCAAGTAGTCTCAGGTATAGGTAACTGAAAAACCCCAAAGAGGTGAGAGAACCTTCAAAGAAATGTTTCAAAGAAAAGTTTGTTTCACAAAGTCTGACAAACTCCAAGCACAAGGAACATGAAGGAAACGACACCAAGGCACATGAAAATCAAAAATTACTAGCCACGCATGGTGGCCCACACCTGTAATCTTAGCACTTTGGAATTACCTGAGGCAGTTGGATTACCTGAGGTCAGGAGTTCAAGATCGGTCTAGTCAACATGGTGAAATCATGTCTGTACTAAAAATACAAAAATTAGCTGAACGTAGTATGGCAAGAAAATCACTTGAACCTAGGAGGCAGTGGTTGCAGTGAGCTGAGATCACATCACTGCACTCCAGCCTGGGTGCCAGAAGAAGACTCCATCTCAAAAGAAAAGAAAAACAAAAAGAAAGAAAGAAAGAAATTACCAAACACTAATGACTTAAAAAAAAAAAAAAAAACCTTAAGATCATCCAAAGAAAAAAGAACATTACATATAGAGTTAACAAAGATAAGAATGGCAGATTTCTCCTTGGAAATAGTCCAGGTAAGAAGACAGGTTACTCAAGAAAAATCATGTGGGTAAGCATTGAATATTTTATTTATTTATTATCTGAATCTTTAAAAAAGACAATTGACTAAACAAAAAAGTTAACAATGTTGTGTGGGATTTATAACAACGACCTGGAAGAGTACAAACATAAACACCTGTTACTATAAAACTGAGTAGTTTGTAGACAAAGAGCTGCCTGAGAGATTTTCCTTTAACTATGATGAGTGACTTTTATGGAGCCTTTAACCTGAGTAACAGAACAGCTGTTTACTGTTGTCAGAGGAAATAGCATATACTCACTGTATATTTATTATAAGAAATTTACTAGTGTGATATTTAAGACTTCACTGCTTTTCTTATAGTAGTTCATTCAATATTAAAACTTTTCAGTTTCCTTTAGGCTTAGCAAAAATACCACCCATTTTCCTTCTTACATCAACTGTGGGTATAAAAATTCATGATGATTCTCTTAGAAATCTTTCAAAAGCTCCAGGCAGAACTTTAAATGTTTTTCTCAGTATTATGCAAATGGCCCCACCCACTTTGGTGAGAGCCCTTCTACTTAATAACCTGTTGAGTGGACAGCCCATCCTCAAGGATTTTCCACACAAACCTCTTGTTCCAAGCTCCCATTATGTGCTTCTGGGCCCACAGCCTGTTAGTACTCCAGAGCCCCTCTGCAGTAGACAAAGTATGCGGATAGGAGAGTGTGAGACAGGACTAACTTCCACTCCTCACTCCCACACCCAGACTATATAGGCATTAGGGGAACCAAAGATATTCAGCAGAAGAGGTTGAGCCTTGGTGAAAGATGAACAAGACAGACTTTGGAGCCTCTTGCTGTTTCTATATGTTTTGACGCAAGATTTATACCACAACTGTGAAGGACTCTCTGTACATCATTATTATTATTTCAATGTTTCAAAAAATCTCTAAGCAGTTATTATTCTTGAATAAAAGCCACATAAGGAATGGTTGCTATTCCCCCTCTTACAATGCATGGATGAAATTTTATGTTAGAACACTAGGACAGAGTGATATGCTAGAGCCCTTTGTCCATGTGCTGGCTGGTTTATACCAGACTGGTTGATATGGTTTAGCTGTATCCCCACCCAAATCTCTTCTTGAATTGTAGTTCTCATAATCACCATGTGTTGTGGGAGGGACTTGCTGGGAGGTAATTGAATTATGGGGGTGGTTTACCCCATGATGTTCTTGTGATATTGAGTGAGTTTTCATGAGATCTGACGGTTTTACAAGTGTCTGGCATTTCCCCTGCTGGCTTTCAGTCTCTCTCCTGCCACCCTATAAAGAAATGCCTTTTCCCACGATTGTAAGTGTCCTGAGGCCTCCCCAGCCATGCAGAACTGTGAGTCAATTAAACCTCTTTTCTTTCTCTTTTTAAAATTATTTTAAGTTCCAGGGTACATGTGCAGGATGTTCAGGTTTGTTACATAGGTAAACATGTGCCATGGTGGTTTGCTCCACCTATCCACCCATCACTTAGGTATTAAGCCTGGCATGCATTAGCTATTTTTCCTGCTGCTAGCCCCCAACCCCTACCCTTCCCTGACAGGCCCCAGTGGGTGTTATTCCCTTCCATGTGTCCATGTCTTCTTATTTTAACTTCTTTGCTTTATAAATTACCCTGTGTTGGGCATTTCTTCATAACAGCATGAGAACAGCCTAATACACTGGCCCAGATGAAAATAAACGACTACAAACAAAGGGTCCCTAAAAGGTAGAAAGAGTAATCTCTCCTCCAAAAGAGGTGTACTTGTGATATAACTATTGCCATTTATTAACCGTACTTGTGTAAAGCACACACATAAAAAAATCTCTGACACTCAATTAAGCAGTAAAAAATCAGACCTTGAGAATCTCACTTTGATGATGAGGTCAAATGGTGGAATTGGGCACAGTTCTCTCAGGAGTAGAGGCTTATTTATCTTGTGTTTGTTTTAGAAATCAAATGCATGCATCTCAATCATTTCACCATGCAATCACTATGCAAATGGCCCCGCCCACTTTGGTGAGCTGGTGGTCCAGGTTACTGATGGTTTAGTTTCTTCAAGAGTCTAAAAAATCCTTTCTCCTTATAGAGTACCTTTACAACAACTAGACTATGCACATCTAAATGTAGGATTTCCAAAATCTAAATATTCCGTTAGGGTCATAGAAATTAAATGAGACAAAGGATGAGAAATCACCTCGCTCAGGATGGCCATGATGGATTATTAAACAAACACGCAAATACAAATGTGCATCGTTTATCATTCCCCCACCCTCACACCTAATATGTAATACAATATATCACACCTAATATGTAATACATTGCCTTTGGGGAAGGCAATATGGCATCTGGCAGGCGTAATGGAAATGGTACCAGTATATCTGGCCAACCCCACCCAGTTCCTTCGGCTAGCCATGCCAAAACTGGGGGAACTTGAGATGTCTCATCACCCCCAGTGGCATTTTTCCTAGGCACTCAATATGCCAAAGGAGCCACAGTTCTTTTCTACTCTGCTCCAGTGGGGCCTTGACTTCCAACCTGACGCCTACTAGTCCTTTTCCTCCAGCTAGATCTTATCAACTAAGCTTTCTGCTGCTGGCTGAATCCTGTTCCAAACCAGTTACGTAAATGGAATCCTTTACCACCACCAATCTCTGCACAATTTTTTCATGCCTCTTTAGACAGCTGGTTCCCCCATCCTGCCTATCCCATAGCTCAAGGGGGTCCACTTCTCTACACTGAACACTGTTGAAATCTAGTTAGGCTCCATGATGAGACATCTAGAAAATTTGAAGTCCGCTCTACTGGGCTCTGATTCGGACTCTTCTACTTAGAGGCTGTGTGATCTAGAGCTTGCCACTTACCCTGTCTGAGTCTGTCCCCTCATGGGGATAAGAATGAATATGGTACTATTATGTTACTCATGGGATTGCGATGAGGATAATATCCAATAATATATTTCTAATAATATGTAGGCTACATAACGTTATATGTAAATTTTTGCTATAGGACATCATTACTAATATTATCTATTACAACTTAATCTTTATATCATTATTGAACATCATTGTTGATAATCATGATTCATATTAATTACAGATTACCTTTTTCAGCACACAACTGTCTTCATGGAGATAGATTTTACCCTCCCAATTAGGGGGTTCCTGCTTGGGACAGGACTACTCTATTGAGTTGTAAGTTGGAAACATTTTTGCCTGGGAGGAGACAGACGCCTCAGGCACTTTGTTGAAATAATCGCCAGATGGCAGCATTACACCAACCACAGAGCAGAAGAACCTGATCCCTGCCCAAGGACCTTTGCAATGGCTCAAATTAGTAAGAAAAGTCAACCTGCTTTTCTGGGCTGGGCTGGTAATAAAAGCTTCTTAATTCTAGTTGGAAAGTTCATGTTTAAAATAGTCTTCAGTTCACAGAAGCTATAAAATTGAAACATATATGGGAAGAGGGAGAAAAAGCAAAGAGGTGGTGGGGTGTGAAATGTGCTAAAGTTGTGTAGAGCAACATAAACGTTTCAACCTCAGACTGTTTGGAGTTAACCATCTTCATCAATTCTACTTTACCTATTTCATCGTCAAGTTTCTGTCTCTTCTGTCCTCTGATGGTACAACATTCTGTGAAAGCTCTGTGATGAAGCTGAGTCACCAGCCAAGTTATCCTACAGTTGGAATGGATGTCCGAGATTAGGCAATCGCCAGTGCCTTTAGGAGCTGGGCAGGTGGCATAAGTATGTGAAGCAAATAGGCTTCAGGACAATGGGCGGTTGTGTGAATTGTTCCGACCAGAGAGAGGTTGTTCCTTTGAAGACATTTTACACAATTAATTTTAAATGTTTTTGTAGAACTAACAAAACCTCTCTATAGTCCCCAAGTTGGAAGACAGGATGGTGCCACCTCCCTTCCAGAACATTCCTTAGACATGGTCAGTTAGCTAGTACTAACTCACTTTTGGTGACAAGGAGTGACTTCTATGTGGGCAGAGCACATCGTGCCTTTTGGGAAATTCATCTTTGAATTGGCGAAATCTATCTTAGCATTTTACATTTGTCGGTCTTAGCTCTGCTCCTTGGAGTAGTGCAGAATAGCAGAATATGTTAAACTCCTTTCCTGAAGACAGCTCGCTTGTACTCTCCAGGCCTTTCTCCTCAGCTTAACTCTCCCCAGACCCTTTAATCATCCCTCACGGGCAGGATTTTCAGGCTCTTTGTGTCTTGTACTTTTGAATAGGCTTTTACTTAATGCTTGCTGTAAAACCTGTCACCCAGCTAGGCTTCAGTAGGAGGGATCATGTCTGACCATCACAGAAGGGAGGAGGACTGCTCTTTTCCTATTTCTAGTTAGTTCACTCCCACACACACAGCCTAAGGTTGTGTTAGTTTAGTCAGAAGTTGTGTTCCCAGCGTTGGGTTACACTGATTTCAGTCTCTATTTTGAAATCAACAAATAAATGTTTTGAAACCTAAGTGAATGGTTTAGTTTGCATCCTTGTGAAATTTGATCTAGCTTGTTTGGGACCATGGTTCTATCCTGCCAAGAATAATCTTCATTCTGAAATTGATTTGTGTTGTCTATGGTACTGAAAAACATTCTTGCTGTAGGACGAGTCACTGTTAATATTCTGAAGAGAATAAGCCAGAGAGATAGAGCCTGGCAGAACCTTCTACTGGAAACCTTCATTCCTAACAGATGGTCATTGGGCCCTGCAGGATCCTACACTGTGCTAGATACTCATTGGCCATCGTCAACAAAGGTACCTGCCATCATGAAGCTTCTATTTATCTTGACTCTGATCCCAAAACTGAGGAAAGTCTGAAAATATTAGTAGTTATGGAAAATAATCCTGAGACAAGTTAATTCTTTTTTTTTTCTTTTTGAGACAGAGTCTTGCTCTGTCGCCAGGTTGGAGTGTCGTGGTCCAATCTTGGCTCACTGCAACCTCCACCTCCTGGGTTCAAGCGATTTTCTTGCCTCAGCCTACTGAGTAGCTGGGGCTACAGGTGCACACCACTATGCCCAGCTAATTTTTGTATTGTAAGTAGAGATGTGGTTTCACCTTGTTGGCCAGGATGTTCTCGATCTCCTGACCTCATGATCAGCCTACCTTGGCCTCCCAAAGTGTTGGGATTATAGGGATGAGCCACCGCACCCCGCCTAATAAGTTAATTATTTTTCTATGCCAAAAGTCTTGGGCAGAAGAGTCTCTATCCTATCAAGACTTTTATATAACATTTTAATAACTTCCAGTAGCTCCCTCCCGATGTTTTTGTTTTAAGGTCTTACAACCTAGGCATTCTTCCATTCCTCCTTTCCTCCCTTCTTTCTTTTCTTCCATTGCTCCAGGTCTAGCAGTTTCTCCTTTGTTCTTCAGTCAAAATAACCTTCCTTCATTATTTAAAAGAAAAAAAAACTGCTGCTTTAAAATTAACTTATCCTGGGATCAATATTATTGTTTTTCAGTATTATAGAATACAAGGTGGTAAAGAAAATTTGGAAAAACAAAAAATCATAAGTAAAAACAAAGATCATTATAACCTAACCATGTAGGAAAATGACTAAAATATTTCTATGTATTTCAATTTAGGTCATTTTGTTTGTGCACATTTGCATGTGTGTGTGTTGTAAAATAATAATCAGAATAAAAATTTTTTATCTTGTTCTAATGTGAATTTTTCTTATTAAAAATTATGATGTGTGTCTGTGTGTGCACACATGCATGTGTGTTTGTAAGCATGTTTCCTCCCCCCCAGATTTTGGTAGCATAATTATGCTACTTCCATAAAAAACAATGGACAGGTTTCTCTTTTTATCAATGCTCTTCAGCAGCTTGGAAGATTTAAGTAGTATCATTTTATTATAATGTTAAAAGAGTTTAGCCATAAAACTGCTGACAATGGTATACCTTAAACGATGAATCTCTTTGAAAACTTTTAATTTCTTCAATAGTTATTGATATTTTGGGATTCCTACTTCTTGAGTTAGTAACTTCTATTTTTTTTTGAGACAGAGTCTTGCTCTGTCACCAGGCTGGAGTGCAGTGGTCAGTGGTGCAATCTTGGCTCACTTCAACCTCTGCCTCCCAGGTCCAGGTGATTCTCTTGCCTCAGCTTCCTGAGTAGCTGGGACTACAAGGGCAAGCTACTATGTCCAGATAATTTTTGTATTTTTGGTAGAGATCGGATGTCACCATGTTGGCCAGGCTGGTCTCGAACTGCTGACCTTGTGATCTGCCAGCCTCAGCCTTCCAAAGTGCTGGGGTTACAGGCATGAGCCACCGCACCTGGCCCTAATAACTGATTTTTCTAATGTCACCAATTGAATAATTTATGTTCATTCTATATTCTCTAAGAAGACTATGTTTCTACTTCTCATTTTAGCTATGGCCTTATTTCATAAATTTTTGTATGTATTTTTTTCTTGAATTCAACTACCTAATAATGTTGTAATTCCTCTTTTCTTTTTGTTTTCATTGGCATACATTTTGCCCATTCATTTTGTTTTTAACTTTTCTTTGATTCTTTTTCTAAATGTGGATAAAATTTCTTTATTACCTTTAAGTCTTTTTCTTTGTAGGTTTATTTATTCCATCTATAACTATTTTCATAAGCTAAATATTTAGTCTTATTGTTTGTAATTTTATATCTATTTTTATAACTGTGATTGGTAAAGTAAATATGTGACATAATGCAAATCTTCCCTCTTGTTCTGAAAGTAGACATCACTAATAATCCATAACAATCTTCTCTGCTGAGCTGAAATTCAGCCTCAGAATCTTTATTAGTGTAACTTTACAAATAGCTAATACTAATCAATGAGAATTGGGACACAAGTTTTAATCTGTTTGTCATCCAACTGGTATATTAATAAAGACAGTATAAATTCATATTTAGGTAGACCTGATTTTGAACTGCATCATAAATAGTTATCTCAGAGACTTGAATGAGGATTAAAGAAGATAATGTAAAACACTTAGCATAGTGTCTAGCACTCAGTATTTGGTAATATTACTAATATAATTAATTTTCAGTGTTTATTTTTTTGCCAAGTAGAGTATAGTTCCTTTGATTGCGTTTTTTCCTCTGATAATTGAGAACACATATAACAAATATCATGTTTTCAAATTTAATTAGTAGCAATGTAAAACTTCAAACATATTTCAAACATCAAGAATTAAATTAACTCCCCAATTAATCACTATTTGTTGACAATTTTCTTCTGTCATTCATCTTTCTATGATATAATCTATGATTTTAGATCTAGCAATTTTTGTGTGTGTTTATTCTCTTTTAAGAATATTCATAACATTGATATTATGTTTGTGTACTTTACAATACTTTAGACTTTGCCTTACCTGCCCTTTTAAGCAAGACTTCCTAATTCAATAGGCTTGTGTACATCTTTGACAATTTCTTTTTCAGGAAGAATATATGGATGTTCTATTTCCCAAGGCTTTTCTTATCTGAAGTGTTGCTTCATATGACAACTTGAAAGGTACGCAATTCTCGAGTTTCAAAATTTCTACTTTAAAATGCAACTACACACCTCCACTATCTTCTGGCATCTAATACAAGGATGTTTTCTGAGAGGTGAGTGAGCAAGGAAAACCTTCTCTATTGGACCCGTGGTCTGACCATTGTATTGTATATTGAAAGATAAAATTCACACTGCTTCCTCTGGCATCTTTTTTCATACCATTTTCTTAAAATCTGTCATATCAAAATACTACCTTAAAATTGTTGAAAAACATCGTTTAGAGTAATAAGTTCAGAGGGCACAACCTAGTGATAACTGTTCCTATTCCCCTCCCTACAAGCTATGTTTCTGCCCAGGGGAAGGAAAACACGCTATTGAGCCTGGAGCTTCATGGCATGGAGTAATCAGGGGTTTGGTCATGCCAGGACTTGACATGAAGCAAGTTAGAATCTTAATCCAATTAATTGTTTCTGAAACAGAACATTTCAATGAATCTATAAAGACTGCATTGTTTAAACACACATATCTTCTTTGTCTACTTAGATACTTATTAGATATTCCTGAGATAGAAAGGAGGGCAGATCCGATTTTGAATAGCAAATGTACATGCAATGTCCTGGAAGAATGCAATGACAAATTTTAATTTAGATCTAGCGCTTACTCATATTTTATAGAAATAGAAGGATAGAAGTTTCCAGAGCTAAATGAACAATGTCCCATGACCACTTGAGACAATAAATAGGTTTCAAATTTAGCAATGCCAATTTTTTTGGAGACTTTAATTTTTGTACTGATTCAAGTACCATAGTTCTAGTGATAACCAGTCCAAATGTTTTTTGTTTTTGTTTTTGCCTTTTGTGAAGCTGGCTGGGAGCAAACATTGCCCTTGTTGAGTTCACTGGTTGATTGGCAGGTGATTACATCAAATGTTCAGACAGTCCTTTTACATGGCAGCCCAGTTCCTCCAGTTTAGTAGTTACCAAACTGGAGAACTAAAATTTCCATCAAGAATCAAGCTTATGCTTCTCTTCCTGACTGCATTCTGGGGGACCAGTGTAGGACTCCTGGCTCCATCAGAGTCAGAAGGCATTCTCAGAGAGGCCAGTCATTTGTTGACTAGTCTCCATTTGTCTTTCCTTGCCCCTGTTACCTTCTATTCAGATCATTCTCTGCCCTGCCTGTGCTCCAGGCTTTCTCTTGTGTTCAGTCAGTGGGAGACCCAGTAGGAGTAGGAGATTGAAGGGCGGAAGAAAGAGCGTGGATTATTTATTCACAACTTTCTCTTTTAGGTGCTTTTTGAAAATGGCTGCAGTCCTTATGGTGAGAGCTCCTTTTGAGAGGTCTCCCTTCTCAGACTACAACTTTTACAGGCTCCAATAGCAGGCTCCCTCAGCTTTTTTAGGCCTGGGGTGACAATGACTTTCTGCTCTTATTAATCTTGAGGTGCTTCCACATTTCCTAATGGTTCCTTGAATCCCACCCACTTCAGTAAATAGCCCCTTTCTAAAACTCTCTTCAGTTAAACCGTTTTGACTATGCTCTTTCCTGCCTAATGATACTCATACATAGTACAATAACCAGACAACTTAACTTAGTATTCACTTTACATTGTATCTTTTCATTTTAATTCCAATTAATCTCATTAAATAAAAAGGAAGTTTTTGTTTTTAAGGACATCAGCCACCCGAGCTTGGAAGAAAGATGTACAGAGGATTGGGACACTGCTTTCCATCTCTTCCAAGTTAAGTTACTTTCATCTCTTTCTTGTTCACCTGCATTTTTTTTTTCTTTTGAGGCAGTGTCTTGCTCTGTTGCTCAGGCTGGAGTGCCGTGGCATGATCACAGCTCACTGCAGCAGCCTTGACCTCCTGGGCTCAAGCAATCCTCCTGCCTCAGCCTCCTGAGCAGCTGGGACTATAGGTGTGCACCACCCTATTGGACTAATTTTGTGTAGTGATGGAGTATCACCGTGTTGCCCAGACTGGCCTTGAATTACTGGGCTCCAGTGATCCTCTTGCCTTGACTTTCCAAAGAGCTCTGATTATAGGCATGAGCCACCATGTCTGGTCTTTACTTGCATTCTGATGATTCTCTAAATAATATCTTCCACAATGTCACTCTTTTTTGTTTGCATCATCAATATTACTTTTTACTGATTCCAAACCATTTCAAATTTTGATAAAATTATTTGATATATTCTCATTTATTCATGTAACAATCATTTACTGATTGGCTGCTCTGTGCAGGCACTGCATGGACAACGGGGAACACTGAAAGACACAGCCCGCCATAGAGGAGATTCTCCAGGGGACAAACTACAAATTAAGGACAAAATAGATGGTAATAGAAAACACTGAGAGTGCTTTTGGATTTTATTTGATAGTAATAAAAAAGACTCCAGAACACCTTCTTCAACATATGTGTTTTAGACATACATAATTCATAAGGCATACTGCCTGAGCATTGAAATAAAATAAATAATCTTCAAGCTGGGTGACCATCCACTTTCTAGAAGAAAGCCTGCTCTATTTATTTGTTTATCCCACAAATATTTTTTTGTTGGGTGCTTACTGTGTGTTAGGCAATGTGGTAGATTAGAGGATACATGGAGAATAAGACTGTGCCTCTATTCTTTCAAAGTTTACAGTCTAATGTTCTGAGAATGAACTCTGAGCATGTGTAGTAGCCCTCACAAAGATGAAAACTGCCACAACAAGAGTTTTGGGGCACATGTAAAACTGAGTCCCTTTGGGGATTCAAAAGCACTGACCCCTCCTTTACCACATGGTTTCCTTGAGGTAAAAAACTGCTTTGATTCAAATGTTAAAACTATTCAGAAGAGAAATTCTGAATAACTACTACAGGAAAAATATCAAATTAAGTACTTGTATCCAACTTTGTGATATTCATGACAGTGAAGAGAAGCATAATACAGAAAGGAAATAGTAAAATGCAAACCAGAAATACTTGGAAATGGAAAAACTTCTAAGTAGCATCTGATTAATTTTGATAATTTTAAAAGTTGCCAGTGACACATCTTAGAACATAAGATTACACACCGAAAGTTAAAGCATGATTATGGTCACCGGGTGACTTATTTCTAATGAACTTTTCAAAAGGAGTTATGCAGTTGGCCTAATTTTAAACAAGCAATTTTATTATCTTTAGTCACACAAAGTATATTTCATTACTTTATGTGATATAATGATTCTTTTTTAAAGCACTTTGCTTTTACAAAAAGAAAGCCCAAAGATGCATATACACAGGCACAGATTTTTAGATGGGATTCGTTTTCCTTTTTTCTTGGTAAAATATGTTTTTGCCAAGTTTGCAACCCACTTGAACTTCTGTCTGTTCTTTGATTTTAGAATCAACTTGGGCTCCTTTTAACACTGGAAAAATCACAGAGTTAGTCATAGATTTTTTTTTTAAGTCTTAACAAAGTTTACTGAAGATTTTTATTATCACCAAATGCCTGTAAATAAAAACCCTTCTTACTAACATTCAGTGTACCTGTATCTGAAATGCAGTGTTTCAATTTTAAATGAGATCACTTTAAGCATTTGTAAAATAACTTCATAAAGAAAAATTTTTTAAAAAGACATTCTAGGAAAAGCTTATTCTAATTCTTTAGCTGTTAAAAGAACACTCTTGACAAACTTTCTTGACCATTGATTTCCTCAGCATACATGAGATAAATTGTGGAGACTGAAGATAAAGCAGATATTATTCTTATCAAAATGCTATGATACAGTAACTTCACCTGCTTTAAATTTAGCTCTACACATATGGTTTAAACAAAGAATAAGTTAGGAACATCTTACACAGAAAACTAATTAATTGTAAAATAATAAGAATTGAAAATTCAACACTGAGAGTTTGGGGTCTGGATTTGTCACCAATCATTGTTGGCACCCAGAATAAATCACTAACTTTTATGGACCTTTCTTTCCTCATATGTGAATTATGAGAGTTTGTCTAGAAATCTAGTCATTATGCCTTCCAATATCAAAAATATGATCACCTAAAAATAAACATAGAAAGGACGCCTTGACTGTACTTACAGACAAAGATGGAAGAGCAACTAAAACTGCCTTCGAAAGATTCATAAATTGTTGTGATTACTATAAGCAGATTAAAGCTAGTGTCAGCATGTTTTAGAAACTGGAAGAAGACAAAGGTCAATATGGAGTCAGGGAGGAGAGCAGAGAGGTATTTCCTCTCTCAGACACACTGTTAGGGGATGAGGAATCAGGTCTTCCACAGTGAATCCTAGAATGCTTTGAGTCACCTACTCTCTCTTGACATGCGATAAACCATTTTACCCACTTTTGCTTCTTATAACATGCAATGTGCACAGCCAAGCATATTTGATAATAAAGTGATATCTACAACTTATATTTGCAGCATAGAATTTGGGCAGGGCATGCCATTTGGAGTCAGAGGGACTGTGGTTTCATCCTGGTGCCAACACTGGCCAGCTGGGTGAACTTGAGCAAGTCACTTAGTTTTTGTGAGCCTTTGTTTCCTCACTCATAAGCTAAAAATAATTGTTGGTAAGCAGTAATACTCAACAATAATTATGGGGTTCTACACTGTGACTCCATTAATGGAGGGGGGTTTATGAAATCTGCTTTTTGGCCTTTCTGGACTCCCATTTGGCTTTGAAGCCTTTTCTAACATAATCTCTACCTTCTCTGAGAAGAAGGGCCCCCTGGAGGCATTTTATCTTGGGATTAGGCTTTGGATCAGGAGAGAAACATTTTCTTTCTTGGCCAAAAGATTCATGAAACTTGGGTGCCAAGAATTGGCAACAGCCAGATGCCTCTTTTTCAATAGCCTAATTAGTAGTGCTGTGTGTCCGCAGGAAAGGACAGGGAAGGAACCTCCCAAAGAACAATGTGAACTTGCTCCTTTTGGATTTTCCCATGAACAAACCTAATCATTTGTTATGGGGTATTGGTTTTATTGTTTAGGGAGATGTGAGGGGGCACAGATTGGGTGGTGACTGGGGAAGACATACATGAAGTGTAAAGGATGATCTTAAGTTTGGAGAAATGGTCACACCTTTGATCTGGGTGACTTATGTCATAATCTTTGCTGCTATCACAATGGTGGGCACCAGGAAGGCTTTAAGGTTTCCACAAAGTCTGTGAATCAGATAGGCTTCTGTCATCGCTCGGCTTCTTTAGGATTCCATGGAAGCCACAACTACTAGAAATGCTCTGATGGCATCAACAGTTTCTCTAGTGACAATAAATATATGTGCTTCTAGAATTCATTCCCACCATTTTCTTTACTACAAAGAGAAAAGGGACTTTATTTTCTTTTCCTGCAGTGATTTGTAGTGTTAGAAGTAAATATAAGTAACTTTCTTCTTAATAAGTCAAATGTTTTCTTCTGAAATTTAAATATTCTTCAAATATTTTAACTTTATTTTCATTTTATCTTTATTATCTTCAATTTCAACCAAATTCACTGAACTCATTTTAGGTAGAGTAATGTCCGTAAAGTACTACAGGGCTGGGAGAGAGCACAAATATGAACTAGAAAATGACAAGAGTATGGTGGGGTTTTTCTTTAAAAGATGGAACATTAAATCATTTAGAAGGTAAAAGGCATCTCTAAAAAGCTGCTGTTAATGGAAGAGACTATCCAAGATGTATTTTCTCTGAAATAATTTTGTCTGAACTCTTATCACCACTCACAGTAAAGTTTTTTTCTTTTTAAACAAAGCAAAATGGTTTTGATTTTATACTGATTCATATTTTCTTTTAATTAAACTGTTGGGGAGATTTGATTATTACTTCAGTGACTCTTTTGCCTACCTCAGAAATGCTTAATACTACATAGAGGTATGATATGTTTGGCAATCTAAAATGTAGCACTTATTCTTTAATAGGTTATCAGTGAAATACTTGTTATTGAGAAACCCGTTTATATTAATCATCCCCTTTGCAAATGTCTATCATTTTTAAAATTATTATCCTCATTCTAATTAGAACAGTGCCTCAAACCTACTGAGGTTATAGAAGAAATAATAGGATCTTCTCTTTCCTAGGCTTTTCTTGCTGAAAGATGCCAAATACTTCAAAAACTGAACAAATTGATAGATAAATTACACTGGGATGAGCTCACCTACCACTGATGTGCAGCCATCTCTAGGGTAGCTCCCTCTAGCTGTTTACCACCATGCAGCGGTACCTAGGAGCAGTTTGTCATAAAGAAAAGAAGACTGTTTCTTGGAATATTAGTAACAGGGAATTTGCAGAAGAGAAGGTATAATTGTCTAGATTGGAATATGACCAGGACAACCACACCATTCCCACACACCACCAAGAAGGCAAAAAGTAAGCAACAGTGGTTTGGGAATCTGACAATTTTTGAATGACAATCTAATGTTTTTATGCTACCAAAAAATGAAATTTAGAAACCTTTTTGGTCTTGTTTCTTGTTGTCTCATTCACTTGCCTCATTCATGTAATCCTTATGCTGCTTCCTGCTTTGGCCACAGAGGAAATCAGAAAAAGGCCATTGAAAATTACTCTTTAGCTATCTGGGGAACTTACCGTATGATCTAAGATAGTATTTCTAAAGCTGAAATAGCATTGTGCCTGTGGAATCAGTGAGATGATGAAACAAATGGACTTTGTCAGTGGGTGAAGGGATGTGTTGATGAGACAATAACCTGCTTCTCCTCAGTGTCCTGCTCCCCTACTGTTCTTCCTCAGAACACATTTTAATACATCACTTTAACACGAACTCTCCCTGAAGTCCATTTCTGGGGAATCCAACCTAAGACAGGTGGTAGGAATGATTCAGAGCAAAACTCTAACACCTGCACATTTAAAAATCTAACTATTGATACCAACAGGACCCAATATGCATATACTCACTGCTAGGTCCTGACGGAATAACCATAAATACAGCAATTTTTTAGAGAGATAAATTAGTAATAATTTATATTTAAATTAATCTAAAAGAGGCATGATTAAAAACCGTGGTCAATTTAAGATGTTATTAATATATTTCTAACAAATCATAGTTCTTGAAAACTGTAAGAATTTCAATAATTTATATTTTTGCATGTACAGTAGGAACCTTGCAACAAAGCATTGCATAGCAGCTAGGCCTTTTAACAGAATGCTGAATTTGAATTCTCAGTAAGCTCTAACATGCTGCTTGTATTAGCCTTTAATTAGTAACTTAGTGTGTTACTAGCAATAGTCTTGGTCATATCTAAGAATGAAAGTCTAGGTAATTACACAACCATTGTTTATAAGACTCAAAGGATCTCCATTTTTAAAAATCACTTAATGTCTTATTTCACTTAAGAAGAGTCCTAAGGACTATACATTGATAATCACTCACATCTTCACATCGTTGTCCACAGAAACTGCATAAGATAATTTGTAAATGACTTCAAGATGCATCCATAGTACTAATAGCTGCCATTTACTGCTTGCCATTATTGTTTATTCTATTTAGAATACATTGTCTATACTACTTACAACTGCCAAGCTGGGTAGATTTTATTATGCCCATGATGAAGATGGAAACATTGAAGTATGAGGGCCTCAAATAACTTAAACCAGAGGTCACACAATACTTATGACCTGATCCCAGCTTCACGTTTTTTCTGTTAAAGCATACATGTCAAATCTTTGATTTTCACTAGTCAGTCATATATCCATGTCCAAAGAATAAATGGGAACATATCTACAGTACGTATTCAGTAAACCTATTTCACCTTTGTTTCTAAGGGCTAAGTTCTGGATTACATAACTTTTAGAATTTGCCAATTACTGTATACTTTCTAGAAGTCACCATTATTCTCTTTAAGAAAATTACTATAAAATTAAACCAAAACTAAATTACATTTTTCAAGGCTACATTCTCAATAGCTTAAAAATAAATTAGTCCCTTGGCTGATTGTGATGGAGAACATTAACAATGGCCCCTCAGTGAAGTGTGGTGTTCATTCCTGCCACACTTCAGGGTGCAACAAAGAACATTGTAAGGTTCCTTGTGATCAAAAATATAAATGGGGCCACTGAATCAGTAGTTTTCTTAGTGGTTGTTTCTGAAGCATATTTCAAAAATAATGATCAATGACTGTTCTCAAACCAGATGACAGTGGTGTTCGATGCTCTCTCCTCAGAGAAACCTTCCTAGTCACCCATGATAATGCCGCTCCCTGTGACCTGACACTTTACGGTCTACTAATTTGTTTTGTTTTTAATAACCTTTAAAAACATGTGACATTATCTCAGTTAATTAATTAATTCCACAATATTCATTGAGCATCCATATGTACCAGGAACTGTACTAAGGATCTGGGTATATGGTATTAAATAAAACAGGAGAAAATTACTGTATTCACTAAGTATATTTACCTATTAAGTGTCGCTCATATCTTTGTAGAGGCTTTTTCTGTCTTACTTCCAACCCCGGACACATAATGGATACTCAATAAATACTTGTGTTTGTTCAATTGCTAGAATAAGTGTAAATCTCAAACTTTGTATGAAGAATTTTTTAAATAAGTTATTGAGATAAAGTTGAGTCTCACCCACATTTTCATCCCCATAATCTCACCAAAAGCAAAAGAACTAGATGTAGCCCTCCCTTGCAAAGCATAATTTTATTGGAAGGCATTTATGAAGTTACTTCTTCACCTGCCCCTACTCTAGATGCACAAGAAGGTATTAGATATTGTATAGATATCTTATGCATGGGATGGTTTGGACTAAATGACAATCTAAAACTTCATATCTGGGGTAAAGAACATTGTTGTTATAGGGAAGGAGTTCCTAAACTTTGATATAACTGACCTGGATTCAACTTCCAACCTTGGTGCATACCAACTGGTTGTCCGTGGCAAGTCACTTTACCCCTGAGCCAAAGTTTAGCATATGAAAAATGTGTCTAATCCTAACTGCTTAAGCTACTTCACAGGGCATATGGAAAATTTCCATAAAGAACTTCCCTCCCTCTACATGTACACAGCAAATAAGAATGACACAAATGTAACAATGTCATTACGCTGTGCAGAGGGCAAAAAGAGTTCAAAATGAGATCCGCATTGCTGAGAAGCCACCCTGAAAATTCAGAAAGGAAAGGCACAGAGCGCTGTTGGTTTTTTAATATAAATATACACATAGCCATTGGATCTGACTTTAGATAAAAAAAAACAAACTGCCAATCATATGGGAATTTAAAGGAAAAATGGCCTTAAACAAGAATATCTTTCTTTCTGGTTTGTCTTCCTACCTGATATTCTACTATTAGAAAAATTGAAATTTGTTATTACTGACTAACAGTAAATATAGACTCTAACTAAAATGGTAGAATGAACACATATATTTTTGTTTACAAAAATCCCACAGAAATCACAGTAAGCAAATTGATTTCACTAAAAAGACAAAGAGAGAGAAGTAATTCTGAAGTCGTGAAAAGAGAACCTCCAAAACCCCATTCCTCCATAAAAACAACAAGAACGCTGGAAAAATCTGTCAAAATCAACTTTACCAAACCCTAAAAACTAACCAAAGGCTTTCAATAATCTGAGGAGTATTTATACAAGAAAGAAATAGTTGAATATCAATAAAATCGGTGAACTTCATGGCGCTTTAACTTATCCTATTTCTATTACTGTCTCCCCAGGCTGGAAGAAAAAAATCAGCCTTGGAATAATGACAGTTGTGAAAAACAGCATTCTATCAGTTAGAGGAAGCAGAAAGGTGGGGAACTTGCAAAACATGTCCCATTTCTGGAGAATTATCACTATTAGGCCTATCTGGCAGCTCTCTGTCAAAGCCCATTTAGTTAAGCCTGTCTTTATTAGACCTAATCCATAGCTTCCTAAGTGAGAAAAGCCATACCAGCAGGGTGTATGTTTAAAACAATTAATGACAATTTTTTATTGCATTTTAGGTTTTGGGGTACATGTGCAGAACATGCAGGATAGTTGCATAGGTACACACGTGGCAGTGTGATTTGCTGCCTTTCTTCCCTTCACTTATCTGGCATTTCTCCCCCTGCTATCTCTCCCCAAATCCCCACCCTCCACTGTCCCTCCCCTATTCCCTGCAACAGAACCCTGTGTGTAGTGCTCCCCTCCCTGTGTCCATGTGTTCTCATCGTTCAACACCCGCCTATGAGTGAGAATGTGCTGTATTTTATTTTCTGTTCTTGTGTCAGTTTGCTGAGAACGCTGTTCTCCAGGTTCATCCATGTCCCTACAAAGGACACGAACTCATTGTTTTTGATTGCTGCATAATATTTCATGGTGTATATGTGCCACATTTTCCGTGTCCAGTCTATCATCGATGGGCATTTGGGTTGGTTCCAGGTCTTTGCTATTGTAAACAGTGCTGCAATGAACATTCGTGTTCATGTCTCCTTATAGTAGAACGATTTATAGTCCTTTAGATATATACCCAGTAATGGGATTGCTGGGTCAAATGGAATTTCTATTTCTAGGTCCTTGAGGAATCGCCACACTGTCTTCCACAATGGTTGAACTAATTTACACTCCCACCAGCAGTGTAAAAGTGTTCATATTTCTCCATTTCCTCTCCAGCATCTGTTGTCTCCAGATTTTTTAATGATCGCCATTCTAACTGGCGTGAGATGGTATCTCAGTGTAGTTTTGATTTGCATTTCTCTAATGACCAGTGATGATGAGCATTTTTTCATATGTTTGTTGGCCTCATGTATATCTTCTTTTGTGAAGTGTCTGTTCATGTCCTTTGCCCATTTTGAATAAGCTTATTCGTTTTTTTCTTGTAAATCTGTTTTAGTGATTTGTAAATTCTGGATATCAGCCCTTTGTCAGATGGGTAAACTGCAAAATTTTTTTCCCCTTCTGTTGGTTGCCAATTCACTCTAGTGACTGTTTCTTTTGCCATGCAGAAGCTGTGGAGTTTGATTAGGTCCCATTTGTCTATTTTGGCTTTTGTTGCCAATGCTTTTGGTGTTTTGTTCATGAAGTCCTTGCCTACTCCTATGTCCTGAATGGTTTTGCCTAGATTTTCTTCTAGAGTTTTTATGGTGTTAGGTCTTATGTTTAAGTCTTTAATCCATCTGGAGTTAATTTTAGTGTAAGGTGTCAGGAAGGGGTCCAGTTTCTGCTTTCTGCACATGGCTAGCCAGTTTTCCCAACATCATTTATTAAACAGGGAATCCTTTCCCCATTGCTTGTTTTTGTCAGGTTTATCAAAGATTGTATGGTTGTAGATGTGCTGTGTTGCCTCTGATGCCTCTGTTTTGTTCCATTGGTCTATATCTCTGTTTTGGTACCAGTACCATGCTGTTTTGATTACTGTAGCCTTGTAGTATAGTTTGAAGTCTGGTAGTGTGATGCCTCCCACTGTGTTCTTTTTGCTTAGAATTGACTTGGCTATGCGGGCTCTCTTTTGGTTCCATATGAAGT